CCGTTCTCACAATGGGCTCATTAAAAGTTGGAGATTAAGAGCTTGTTTTGAAGATAAAGTTTCCCTCTACAAGATAGCATGGTTTGTGGATCCAGAAGATGTCATCAAGGTTGTTTTCTAAAGTTTCAAAGTTGCTACCTCAAAATAGGAAAACTGCCAGAAAATGGTTAAGTCTGAAAACGTGTTTGTGAAGCCTACTTTGGAGCTCAATTCGAGGAGCATGGATCTGATTCGAGTCCAAAGGCTTCCACAACATGAAAATAGGTATGTTTTTCTGCCGAGGGAAGGAATTAGATGCATGATTGGAGATCTAGAAGACCTCGAACAAATGGCACGAAGTTAGTACGAAAGTTGTTTTGCTGGCAGCTTACTTGTGCGTGAAGAAAGAGAGTTTGAGTCCGAATTTGTAACCTTTTTAGAGTAGACTTTTACCTTATTTGTTTCCTTGTTCATTTAGGTTTGTATTAGGTTTTCTTGGCTATAAATAGCCTTCTACTTTCATTGTAAAACTTAGATTATCGATTATTCAATACAAACATGAGTTTTGGTTCGTAGGTTTCTTGCTTATTGAATTGAGAGATCATCCTATTGGATTCTAGGGTTGATTGTATATTGTATCCTTCAGTTAGTCCCACTGTTCTTGGCCAAGAATCGACCTATAATTACCGATCCTTCTTCAACGTGAAACATTGCACAAAAGTTTCGTATCTAGACACAAAAACCCCAAAAAAATGACCTACCTTGTTCTTGTTCAAATTCAATCAAGCTTTGGCTTTATCGTTACTGCGTAACTTTGATAGATACAACCCTTAGGGTCGTATTAAGTGGTATCAGAGCCCCGTTCAACACAAGGAAGAAGAAGAAGAGCAAGCAATCCAATTGCTTGATTGCCGAATGAAGCCATGGAAAAATGGGGCCTTATCTATTGTCACTGTAAAGTCAAGGAGAAACTGCTGCTGACGGTGATTGACGAGGACAACAAACCCAACCTCGTGAGTGCTTATGTTGTGTCCAAGCTAGGGCCGAGCACAGGGAGACATCCATCTCCTTATTGGTGGCGAAATCCACTAGAAGAACTCCCTTACCTGGTAACGAAGCAAATCTGTTTACAAGTTTTCATTGGTTCGCTTACGTATTTGATTTTTTGTGATGTTTTGCCTCTGCAAAGCGTCCATATGGTGTTAGGGCAACCTTGGACAGACGAACGCCAGGTTGCAATAACAGGAGCAGGCTCTAAAGCTCGAATCTACACTCGAGAGCGTAGCTATGCTTTGAAGGTTCTGCTTCCAGAAGATCTTTTGTTCGACAAACACACGTAGAGGAGGCTTCTAAGTCTTCCATTGACGTTGTTGAAGGTGTCCAGGAGCTGCAGCAACGACAGAAGCTCGACTGTCCCTGTTTTTCTCCGGCAAAATAGTGATGTGTTCTCACAACGTCGACGTGGAGCTAGGGGAAGATTCGAAGGAATTCACCGCTGCAAACACACAACAATAAGAGTATTTATTTGAAACCCGTAATACTCAAATCAAACACCTCATATTCACTACTTCTCTACCAACATACTGTAGAGAACTTTATAGCACATATTAACCTTATATATTATGTAAATAACCCTAGAATTTTACATAGAAATGCATCTTTAATAATCTATTCTTAGCTTTCTAATTTATACTTTTGTGTCAAATTCTCCACCTTTAAGTCAACAAACTATAAAAATGCATCGTAGGTTATTTGAATATTAATAACATTTATCTCATATTTCTATTTTCACGTGGACCCACATTAAATGAAATTCTAACTACACCACTAACTCTCATGTTATCCTACATGAAATACCAAAACATTCATCGTAAACATATACATCACAATGCATTCCTTTGTTAAGTCACTTATATAATTCTCATCTTTTCAATCCGTATGTATAAAAAATTCGTATATGCAATAAATAAACATAAAGTGTAGCTGAGCTCGACAAAGGAAAGAGTTTAAATTGGGCTGAAATGCAAGAAACGTGGCAAACAATCAGCGTGCTCTTGACTACGCCAATGCAGGCCTAGGCCCAAAAGGAACAAGCCGTGAAACACAAGTCAGATTCCTCTGCATAAAATAGGAGCCCGATCGCTGGAAACAGTGGAAACACTGACACGTACGATTTTCTTTTTACATTTTTTTTTTCCGGCAGGGGGTTTTGGGGAGGTTTTTACCCAAGTTCCCAGCCATGGGAGGCCTACTTTCTTCAACCAGCACAGAACCTTCCACAAACCCTACCCACTCGGAGAAGTCCACGCCGCCGCCTACAGTTTCACCGGTTCCTGGCGATTCGCACAACCCAATCTCGTCCCTCGTGTCGACTGAACCTGCTGACATGTCGTCTTCCGATCGAAACCCTACAGAGGAGCAACAAACTACGGCGGAGGAATCAGACCAGTCGAAGCCGGCAATAGAGAAGAAAGAGGGAGAGGAAGAGGAAGAAGGAGAATGCGGGTTCTGTTTGTTCATGAAAGGCGGCGAGTGTAAAGATGCCTTCATAGCTTGGGAGGATTGCGTGAAGGAGGCGGAGAATGAGAAAGAGGATATAGTGGAGAAGTGTTCCGAGGTAACTAGGTTATTGAAGGTGTGTCTTGACGCGAACCCAGATTACTACGAGCCGATCTTGAGGGCAGAGAAGACTGCCGAGGAGCAGGCGATGAAGGAGATTCGTGAGGAAGAGGAGCAGAGGAAGGCGGCTGCCGCGGCGTCCGCTGAGAAGGAAGGAGATAAGGCGGCTTCGAGATCTGAAGTCATTGCTGTCGAGGAGGAGGCTTCTTCAGCCATTCAATGAGCTAGCTCTGGTTAGAATGTCATTCATCTTTTGCCCCCCTTTGCTGTAGAGAATTTATGAGATTTTTGTGGGGTTTGAGCCCTATACATAGATATTTACCTATGAACTCTGAATTCAGATGGTAACTTCAGCTAATGGGTGTTTTAGCTCAAGTGTTTCTTCCTTCTGTAGAATAAAACGATTGTAATGACTACTACATTGTCCGGTTTATAAACTCTCCCCATCCCTCTTGCTTTGTTCCGATCTTGAGTTTAAAGCTCAATGCTTGCCATGAAATCCAGACAAGTCTTCTTGAAGTTAACAGGACTAACTTATGTCACAAACAAAGATGTGATGCACCCATTTGCCTGCTTGAGGATGAATGAATGGCGAGAATCGTTCCTCTGTCTGATAGGTTTTGGTTCTTTGGTTTTGGGAATCTATTTCCAGTTGGATTGATTGATGATAGATTGAACTGCTATGCGACTGCTATGTTATGCCAATCAGGGTAAGGGGTGGTTGACAAGGACTGTGATCAGAGTAATAGGGCTATGGCTTCATTTGTAGCCTTTAGAAGTTATGACATTACCATATCATTCAAAGAGAACCTTCTATTATTTACCCAATTTATTATCAGGGATTGATTGCCCATTTTTGAAAACTAATTCTATTTCTAGGGATCTACATGCTGCCATTGTACATCTGTTTTTCAGTTACATGTATTTCATATATTTCTTACACCAATGACTGATAAATGCCTTCTGGAACTGTGGCATTGCTGGTGGCATACAACTTGATGGATGCCGATTCTGCTGTAGTTTTACGTTTTTCTGTCTATTCCTGATTTGAGGTTTCTAATAGTTTCTTCATGTATGTTTAGGTCTTCCAGAAAAAGTAGCACTTAAGTACTTTTGTTAAAAATAGAATTAGCTTTGTTGCACATAAAGCTTGTACCTCTACAAGGAGGATATTTCTAAAGATTTCATGGACCAGATTGAGTGAAGTTATTAAATGATACAATCCGGACTCAATCCATTTCCATCCAGGATTGATCGTCAAAGAGGGCAAGTCAACAAGCATTATTAAACCTAAAATTTGTCCAAGTCTTTTTGATGTTTCAAGGTACCAATTTTGGAGACTCGGTTCTTTCAATTCACTCGATGGAAATTCAAATTTGATGGCTTGTTTTGAAGGTGGAGTATCCCTCTACAATATGGATGGCCTAGAGGTTCAAGATGAAGTCTGGAGGGCCATGATTGAAGCTCTCAAAGTTGCCCTGTCGAAACCGAGAATCTGCCTGTTTTTTGCCAAGGCAAATGACGAGTTCAAGGTGTTTATTTTGTAGCTTAATATCTGGAGTTTGGGACACATCCAGATGCTGGTTCGAGTTGGAATGAAAATTACAACACTTTCTAAACCAAGGGCAAGAATTGAATGAGATCGACTCGGCTTGGAAGACCATGTTTGAGACGTCCCCAAGAAGCTATCTCAAACCGGCAGCAATATGAATTAGGGCTGGCTATTTGGTCCGGATTTTTTGGTTTTACCCGAAACCGGACAGTATAACCTGGACCGAGAACGGACCGGGACCGGATAGTAAACAATCCAATCCAATTTTTGGGCTTAGATTTGAGATAAAAAACCGTTCGGGACCGGATCGAAAACTGGATAAAGACTGGATAAGAGAGCTCAACACCCAAAACTTAAGGGTAATATGCATAAACGGTCACAAACCTTTGCACTTAGTACAAAACTTAACCAACTCCTCACCCTTTCAGGCCTTAGGCCACTTAAATCCCCACAAGCTCAATATAAAATCAAGATCGAATTGAGACCGGACCGGATCAAGACCGGACTGTATTCAATCCAATCTTTGGTCCTTATATTTTCAAAAAGACCGGACTGGACCGGATCAATTTGGGACAATTTAACTGGACCGGACCGTATAGCCACCCCTAATTCGAATCCCAATAAGGATTCCGAGTTCCATTCGGATTACATGTATAATTTAGTTTCCTTGTTGAATTAGGTTTATTTCACTTAGTGTTTGGTTTTGCTTGAGTTTTTTTTTTTATGGTAACCTGCACTCAGCTTTTATTCAATCACAACAGAATCAACATTGTCAATTACAAGCTGATCTAGCAGATTCAGCGGGGTCTATCAAACCAAACTTCCGCTCTATTTCATCTTCCGCTCTATTTCATCGAGTCATCGTATGGGCCATTATATGTGCCGCTTCATTAGCCTTCCTTCTCACATGTCGTAGGCTTCCATTCTCAACCTCCCCCAACAGATTCTTTATGTTTCTGTAAACGATCCCGACTTCTGTCTCCACTTCCACCGTCCCATTCGTACTATTCACCACCGTCGAACAGTCGGATTCCACCATCGGAGCTGCAATATGGTGCTGCCTAACCAACTGTAATCCAAATTCAACGGCCAGCTTCCCCCATCGTCGGATCCTTGATGTCCTTCATCCTCTTAGCTGCTGCCAAAACAAAGTTCCCTGCATGGTCTCGTACAACGACACCCAAACCCACTCCTTCCGCATCCAAACCTGCATCCACGTTGACTTTCATACGCCCTTGTGACGGCCGCTTCCAAGTTTCCACCATAGTGGGGCCTTGCGGCTGGACTTCCTTCAGCTGGTTCTGCCGATACTCCTCCAGGTAGGTGATCGCGTGAGGCACTATCTCCGCATCCTCCATCTTCTTCCCATTAAACATGTGTGCATTTCGTTCTCTCCATAACGACCATAGCAACACTATCCAATCCTCCAGCTCACTCACCGAGACCCTCTCAACTACCTCCCGAACCCAATCCATACAACTAGGACCAGAGCGCATCTCAGAACAATGCGCGACCGATGAAGTGCGCCACAGTCTGCTAACCCAGGAGCATTCATGAAAAGCATGGACCTGGCTTTCCTTCTGGCCACAAAACGGACACCCATCGCTACGTGTGGGGTTCCGTCTGTTGACCTTCTCACCCGTAGCCAGTGCTTCTTGTGTGAACTTCCACATAAAAACCTTTACTTTCGGCGGCACATTAAGAGACCATAATAGCTTCCACAGCCCCGGATCCCCCACACTCCTGTCCCCATCTTGTTCCTGGAATTTCTTCAACCAAGTCCTATAACCCTCGCGAACGGTATAGCGGCCATCCCTACTCCCCGCCCATATAAGTTTATCCTGTTCAGTCGGGTTTTGTAGAGGGATTTGGCGGATCACCTGGACCATGTCCGCCGGGAAACAGCTTTCTAGGAGATTCTCATCCCACATCTCTTCCTCCTCATCCAACAAATCCCAGACTACTGCGTCAATCGGTAAGCCCATCGGTGGAGACTGAACAATGAAGCCTTCCGTGGAAGGAACCCAGCGATCTTCCCACATCCTGACCGACGCTCCATTTCCAATTCTCCATCTTAAACCACCAACGAGGAACTCTTGGCACTCATAAGACTCCGCCATACATAACTTGCCCGATACCCGATGCGAGCATCCAGAATCGAGGTGTGTTTGTGATACTTGGCCTTCATTATGCGCGCCACTAGGGATGTTGGGCGCTGCCAGAGATTCCAGACCTGTCGAGCCAGCATAGCCTGGTTAAAACCTTTCAAGTCACGTAGCCCAATACCCCCCTGCGCCTTCGTACACATCAAACCCTCTCTCGCCACCCACGGGAATTTCCTCTCCTCCCCCCGTTGTCCCCACCAGAACCGAGTTATCATCCCCTGCACTTCTTCGAGAAAACCCGTCCGGAATTTTAAAAGCAAACATAGTATAAGTTAGCTGAGCCTGTGCCACAGACTTAATCAACACTTCTCTCGCTGCAGCTGACATTGCTTTCTCCTTCCAACCCGACAACTTTTTTCGAACACGGTCTTTCAGGAAAGTGAACAGCTCCTTCTTCGATCTATCCACCTCTGTGACTAAACCCAAGTACTTATCATGTTTTTCCACTACCTTCATCCCCAACACTGAGCTAACCATAAGTCTCTGGTGAGGTTTCATATTCCCTCCAAACGTCACCTCGGACTTCTCCAGGCTGACGAGCTGGCCCGACTCTCGTTCATAATCAGCAAGTACCTTTCTTAATTCGCGACTCTCCTTCTCTGTAGCTCTAGCAAAAAAGATAGAATCGTCAACAAAGAAAAGGTGGGATATTACCGGCGCCCCCCTGGCCACCGACAAACCATGGATACGCTTCTGTCTCACTGCCAAGGAGCTTTAGCTCGACAGTCCCTCCGCAACCAACAAGAAGAGGTATGGTGATAGCGGATTACCCTGCCGCAGACCCCGACTAGGAACGAAAGTCTGTGATCTATGCTCATTGACAAGGACCGCATACGTAACGGAGTGGACACAAAGCATTATCAGCCTAGTCCAGCCTTCCGCAAAACCCATTTTTCGCATTACCTCTTCCAAAAACCACCACTCCACCCTGTCATATGCCTTCGCCATGTCTGTTTTCGCCGCTAGATATCCCATTTTATTTTTGGTCTTCTTCTTCATAGTGTGAAAACACTCAAAAGCTTTCATGACATTATCTGCAATGAATCGGCCCGGTACAAAAGCGCTCTGTTCCAGAGAAACAATCTTGTCCAGAATGACCTTCAGTCTATTAGCCAAAGCTTTCGACAGGATCTTATACATAACGTTACAAAGACTGATCGAACGGAACTCCTTTGCCATCTTTGGCTCTTTGACTTTGGGAATCAAAGCCAAAATAGTATGGTTCAGCTCATGTGGCATCATTCCATTCTCAATCACTCCCATCAGCATCTCCGTCACTTCGTCCCCCACAATGTGCCAATATTTCAGAAAGAACAGGACATACATACCATCTGCACCAGGCGCCTTCCTCTTCCCCATTTGGCTAAGAGCTTCGAATAACGGTTCCCTGGTTATCGGCTTGAGAAGCCCTTCATTCATATCATCATTTACTCTAGCCTCCACCGAGTCCAGGACAGGCGTCAGCTCCAGGCGAGTTCCTACAGAGAAAAGATTTACGAAGTAATTCATAAAGCACTATAAAACATACTCGGTACCTCTCCACCATGCACCCGACTCGTCCTTTATTTTCCTCACTGTGTTCCTACGTCGCCTCGAAGTTGCCTTGCGGTGGAAAAAATTGGTGTTCTTATCGCCACCCCTCAGCCAATCGGTTCGAGATCGTTGAGCCCAATAAAGCTCCTCATCACTTTCAAGTTTCTCCAGCTCCTTTTGCAACATAAGTCTTTGTTCCACGACCCCATCTGTCTTCTCTCTGCATTCAAGGGCCCTCATAGCCCTTCTAATTTTATCCTTCCGCCTTCTAAAGTTGGGGAATGTGGCTCGACTCCAGGAGTCCAGGGTGGATTGAACTTTTGTGATTTTTGAAATAGCATCCCCAGGTTCCGCCAGCCATGCTTCCTTTACTTTCTCCACACACTCTTCATGCTTAGCCCAAAGCGGTTCAAACCGGAAAGACAACCCCCCTCCTGATCTCCTCGTCTTCGTCACCTAAAGTATCGCAAACGATAGGACGATGATTCGATCGCGATTGATCCAGATGCAGAACCCGCGCCTTTGGCCGCATTTCCCACCAAGCTTCATTCACAAGAAATCGGTCTATTCTCTCCTCAATATACATGCCCATTCGTCGTCTATTTTCCCACGTGTATGGGTAACCTTGGAAACTAGGGGTGGGCATTCGGTCGGTTCGGTTCAAACCGAACCGAAATTATGCATATCGGGTCCCCGAATTCTAGCAACCTCAAACCTAATTCGAACCAAATTATAATTCGGTTCGGTCGGTTCAAACCAAATTATAATTTGGTTCGGTTCGGTTTTTCATACAAACCGAAATAGTGAGGTTAGCTTGTATCTTCTCTTTTTTAAATTATTTTTCACCCATAATGTGAACAATAAATATGCATCATCAATGATAAAATCAAACATTTCAACACATAAGTCATAAAACACTAACATGATTCAAATATTTAAGTCTCATAATAAGTAGAAACATAAAAATCCACCATTTAAAGCTTGCAATTATAATAATTCGGTTTTTCGGTTCGGAATTCGGAAATTCGGTTCGGTCGAAAGGACCCTGATTTCCGAAATATGCCATTTTCTCTTCCGAATTCCGAACCGAATAACATTAATTTGGTTTCGATTTCGGTTCGGTTTATATTCGGTTCGGTTAGGTTCGGTTTTACCGAACCGTATGCCCACCCCTATTGGAAACCCAAGTCCTTGAGGCCCGTCTCCGTCAAGCAGTCCACGAACGCCCCCATCTCCTCCTCCCTGCCCAAATTTCCTCCTTTCTTTTCCTCATCTGAAAGGATTTGGTTAAGGTCACCACCACAAATCCATGGCCCATTCCAAACAACAGCCAGGTCGCGAATCAACTGCAGCGTACGATGTTTATCCCGACTCTCGGGCCAGCCATAGATTCAAGTAAATCTCCAGGTCACATCCTGCGCCTCCTCAACTTTAAGATCAATGTAATTAGACGAGTCCCCCATCACCATTGCCTGCACATCCTCGAGCCACCACATATATAGACCCCCTGCTCTACCACCTCTTGACACATCACATGGCCAACTTCTGTCATTTTTGAAGCCTAGTTCCAACCGAGTTTTCTCATTTTCATTCCGAAGTTGTTTGGTTTCCATCAGGAAAACAACCTGGGGGGAAGCTTGTCGTAGTAACGACTTTAAAGATCTAACTGCACAGGTGCTTCCCAAGCCCCGACAATTGTAGCATAAGAGTCTCATTTATTACCCGAAGGGGATCGGTTCCCCGCACCATCAGCTTTTATTGGGGATACAGTTCCCCCGGGTTCCTTGTGAGGCCTAGTTTGTGTTACTCCTCCTTTCTTCGGCTCCTTTTTCTTTCCTTCCTCCCCCTTCTCTCGATTCATAGTTCCTTTTCCCTTCGGAAGCTGCCCCGCAGAGCTCCTCTTTGGATCGGCAATAGTGTGCTGCCTCTCTTGCACCTGAGATGATGAGCTCGAGAGCTCTTTATGCATTGGTTTAGACGACAGTGGTCGGTTATCATGCAGCTCGTTCAGGGGATCAGCAGGTGCCACAGTCTTCATTGAATTATTATTACTTGTTTTTTTCATATTTGCATGGTCCTGTTCACGTATCTCCTTCCCAAACTTTCCCTCCCTCTCGTTATTATTCATTGCCCCGGCCTCAGTCTCCTGTATTACCTCCGCCAAACCTTGGAACCTATTTGTGAGTTTCTTTTCTTCCACCTTCCTTCCACTCTATTTTTTCATCGGACCTCGTCCCCTGGGCTTTACCTTCATCCATTCTCCATACGTCTTCCCTTGCGTTGGATCCTCCTTCTCTTCTGAGTTTGCAACCGAGGTATCCTCCATCTCCATTTCCGTCTCTCTAGGAACACAATGACACCTTCCCGTTGACTTCCCATACGTCCCACAGTTCGTACACAGATCCTCTAAGCCCTCGTACTGGACCAAATACTTAACGCCCTCTATTCTGAACTGAGATATCAGTGGTTGTGTGAGGTCAACTTCAACGCAAACCCGAGCATAATTTCCTCTAGCCCCGAGCTCCGTCGCTCTGTCCACCCTAACCGCTTTACCCAAATATCCACCTATCTTCATTGCCGCTTCCTTATTGATGAATTCAATTGGAAGTTCGGGAATTTGAGCCCACACCATCGTTGATGTTACTTTTGTTTTCCATGGGTTAAAACCCTTAAACCAACGATGTACTGTAAGGTATGTATCGCCCAACATCCAGGGGCCAGCCATAGTTGCCCATTCATAATCCTTCTAGCTTCGAAAGCGAACAAGGAAGCACCCATTCTTCATATCAGATATTTGCAGGTCCCCATGCTTCGCCTAGAGAGATTTGAGGCGACGCGCCAAAGGAATGTATGGAACCCTTCTCCCCAGGCCTTTCACCACTAATGCGGACCTCCACTCCCTTCGCCACCTAATCTTTTCCGCTGTCGTGAGCAGGATCGTTGGACACTTAGGGTCCTCCTTCTCATCATCAAACTCGTCATCTTCCTCCCTCTCCATCCCAACTACATCCTCCGAATCAGATTCCGCTATATACCATAAGTCCTGTTGCAAGATGTCACTAAAACCTCTTGCTTTCCTCCCATGCTCCACCGGCGACTTCGGTCGCTCTCTCTTCTCCGTGTCCATCTCAGTTGCCGTATCAACACCATTATCCCGGCCGTCCGTGTCAAAGTTCAGCGACCTAACTCTCTTCTTGGCCTGTACCGATTCGTTCGAACTCTTCCCGTCAGGAGAAGAGGATGCCTCAGCCGGTCTTCTTATCCCGCTGGTGCTGTCCGGCGGTTTCTCATATCTCGTCGGTAAGGCTGACGGCTGATGTGCCGCCATGAAAAGCTAGAAAACCCTAGGGTCGCGCAAAAGTTCGCTTTTTCGTTTGCTCCGGAAAACTTGGAGCTTTTTTTCTTTTTTCGTGGATGGATCCCCTTTTTTTTTCTTAAAATATATTAAAGCACTTTCGTTTTGCTTGAGTTTTTTTAAGCCTATAAAAGGGCTCATTCGTGTATTATACAATTCAGAGTTGATTTTGAGTAAAAACCACAAAATTCCCAACGTGTGAGTTGTGAGTTTGTTTTGATTATGGTTGCGATCAAAACTTGCTGAAATCCTAGCCTATTGATTGAGAAACACACTCAATTATATCGAAGGCAGCACTGCAGTACTATAGCGATCGTGTAATCTCCCAGGTGTGAGATTCCTTTTTCGTCTCCATCAAATTTCTCTCAAACAAGCTTACTCGAGCTCGGTTGAAACTCTGTTTTCTGTGTTCTTGAGCAAAGGAATTCGGATCATTTGTTGTCTGTTGAGAGGCTGTGCAATCGTATCAAAAACACCCCCTAGGGTGTCATCATTAAAGTGTTGACTTGTTTTCTTTGAGTGGATTCTGAAATCCTTCTTAAGTGGAATCTCAAACGAGCTCTCGAGGTTGCACCGTAAACCCTACTTTCTAATGATTTCTGATGTTTCCAGCAACTCTCTCTCAACAGCACACTGTCCATATTTCATGAACATCTATTCTATTCAACCCCAGGCATATCACAGCTTGTTTTCCTTGGGATCTTTTTGGGTCGCAGTTTAATCTCATTTTCACAGCGACATGTTGTGATTGTTGGTACTGGTTTTTGCTTTGATATCGTGCTCCATCACTTGCCTTTCACATCTGCAGGGTTTGTGATGAGTTGGCAACAACAACGAATTCCTTCTTGCAATGTGGTTTTCGGTTTCCACATTCTGGGCGTCATAACATTCTTGATGTTTCCCTTTGGATTCTCAGTAAGATGGCCTGGATTCATCTTTAACACTGCCGTGGCTCGCATTTAGTTTGTGATTTAATGATTAGGTGCAGTAAAAATTATGAAGAGATGGATCTAATTTATGTTGGACAAAATGTTTGACCATATTATTAGTATCTGAAACCAACTGATTCTTCTAGGAAGCTAAGCTGATGACTCCCTGTTTCTACAAACCTTGAACACTTCAAGAAACTTTGAATATGAATAAATAAACGAACTTTACGCCAGATCAAAATTCATTCACAGAATAATACAATGTTTTCCCCCTACAGCCTGAGTTAACACAAAGCTACTCATCTTTGTCACCGTCTTCATCATAGTTGAAAGGCAAAGGTACTGATTTGAATGCTCGGTATTTTCCTACATTGTTAAGATGTTCATTCTCTAACCTGCAAATAAATGGCCCACAGTTGTTACAGATGGAGTTATCTGATAAGTGCACCTGAGGTCTCATCTTCCATGTTTGAGAGAAATGAAAAAATGTTAGTTACCTGAAGAAGTTCCAGATGCCTCTACGAATGATCTCCAAGCTTGCAACAATGGCAACCGTAGTTTGCTTATGCAGGGGAACTAGGTTATAGCCGAGGACCGTCTGCAGCCAAGCAAATCTCAGCAACACATTCAATACCTGCAAAAGGTTGACAAGGCCCAAAAAGTTAGCTACCAAGGTTTAGTAGCTGCCACATTGATGATAAAACCTGAAAAGCTTGAATCTTTCTGGACTCACCATTGCCAAGTAATATACCCTTTTGCTGGGGACTAAGAGTTTGTCTCTGAGCCACCAGTTCTTGGAATGGCGCTGAAGAAGCCCCCAATCAAAGACGAGGTCCCAGTAAGTCGAGCCAATGGCTGCTATGGCTGAGAACACCCAGGCTAGTACAAGCCAGGTAAAACCTTTGTCCAAGACGTAGGCTGTTCTCATGGTGACTGCCACTATGGTCACAAAGTACTTCAACCCATTGAGGCCTTGCATGGGATCTTTCTCTTCAAACAAGCGGCGAAGGCACTGAAGAAGCCGTGCGACAAATGGAATCACAGCGACAATGAAATTGAAAGTGTTGAATAGCCCACTACTAGTGCAAGTGTTCTCTCTGCGTCTGAAGTCACCCCAGCCATAGTAGCAGACGTAGAACTCCAGACTTCTGATTGCTTGCACCTGAAGTAGATACATGTTGAGAACTATTATTAGTTGCTTCCCTTTGAGGAATTCAAGTTTGGTTTAATGGTGAAAGGGTCTTCAATTGCTTACCTGGCTGGTTAGTTGATCTCCCAAGAAGAAATCTGGTAGTGTGACCTGCAGCAAAGGAAATAAAATTTTACCAGATGAGTCAAAACAAACCCCTCCAGCTTCATTATGCATCTGACACAAGTCAAACTAAAAAATAAAAATTAATACCTTGTAGAGTGGAGCAGCGATGCAGTGGAAGATACATGTGAGCAAGAAGAAGCGAGAAGAACGATACAGGATGTTGAATGGCAGAAACAACATGACCAGAAGCAGCTGCAGAGAGCCATAGACAAAATGGGAGGGTGGTGAGTTCATGAAGTTTTGGTTTGCAGCTGGGAAAGTGTCTCATATTTAAGCATCTTACAATGAGCAGGCCCAGAGGGATGACTTCAGTAAATGCTTGATAATCCTTTGTCACGGGATCCATTTCCATGTCGAGATTTGAGAGTACACTGCAAAGTGCTAGGACTGCAATACCAAAAGCTACCAGGAGGACTTGCCGGTACCCTAATTCAGTCCCTGGCTTGAACCCGAATATGAAGGAATAGTTGACCCTGTATCGCCTCCAGAAGTAGATGTTTGCAGCATACATGACAATGTGCAGAACAATGAAGCCGAAGAAACTGCAAACAGATAGGCATTGCTTGGTAAGCTCTTCAAGAAAAAGGGTATAAAACAAAAGTTACAGGAAAAGTCTGAATGAATTCTAGGTAATTTGTACCTGTAAAGTGGAAACATGGTCACCATGTACTGTTGCCTCCCTGCCTTGTCCATGATGTTGCGAGCTCTGATGATCAGGATTAGGGCTATGAAAAGTGCTGCTGCGCAGCCAGAGAAGAAGCCTGTTGAAAATTTCCCAAACCTTAAACGAGTTAGAGGATTACCAAATTACATAGAGCTTCTAAGAGGTGAAGGATGATGTTGTGTGAAAGTTAAAGGCGATTTTTACCCATGGTAAATGTTGTCCTATGCCTCTCTCTTTTAGCTTTTGGCCTCAAGATGCTCATTCCTTTACTGCGGTTCGCATTCGAAAAATGCTTGATGAATGTAGCTTCAACTCTCTCCATTAGCCTGGTAACATCATCCGAACTTCCCAGGTACGAGTTATCCACCATTCGCATGTAAGCTGCTGATGCACTTCTCGAAGTAATCTTATCATACTTCTTCATGATTTTTGAAAAGGCAAGCGTGTTCAAGAAGCTGTAGCTCTTGAGAAGGCGAAGCTTCTGGTAGAACTCCACAAAAGCACGCTTGAGCCGTTCCTCTACCTTCCTGAGATTCTCCCTTGTAAATTTCAACTCAGTGTGGCGAGGAACTTTGAGGAACCCTTTAATGGTGGATCGTGGTGTCTCAGAGGTGTTGTTCATCTTCACGTGGTCCAAAACCTCCAGCGGAGATAGTCTCACCACATTGCCATTGTTGTTGTTTGATTGGTTCTTGGTTTTCTCTTCCTCTTTCTCTGCATCATCCTCATCGTGGCTCGACGAGCCATCGGATGACGATTGCTCGTGACTCATTGATCCTTCCTCAATGGCTTCCATGAAATGAACTTTTCCTGCCATGAAAACTCCGACAGTCAACACCAACATCTATGCTTAGTTGTTTACCATCAAATTGATTGGTTGGAAGTCCTTACTGCTTGCTCTGGCTTCTGAAGGTGTGGTAGCCGACAATGCAGCAGCAGAAGCTGCAACATCCGAGGCCAATCGGGTCATCTGCGCTTTCCTGTCATGATGAGACCACCCAGTAGGGTTCTCAACCTTGATCCGAAACGCAATCAAAGCATCCATTTGCTTTGTCAAGGAATCAGCTTCTTTCAACACCTCTTCCACTTTGCACTTGTAGAACCTGTTCACCTTATTGAACTCATCATCCAGCCGCCGAAAGTAGACCAGCTCGTACTCTCCTCCTTCGTCGGAGGCCATCAAGAAGGTTGTCTGGTAACTCTGAGACCCTTCTCCTTCTCCCCTCTGATTCTTCACAGCAGTGACCAGAATGGTCTGGCTCTCAATGTCATCGTCGTCCTCGTCGTCGTTAGGTTTCGACATCGGGTTGTAGCTGGTGTGGTTTCTTTGCGTTAAGCCGCTGAAGGCTCTGTAGAGAGTTAGCTTCCTTTTCAAGCCACCTCGGGTTGCTGCAGTAGCTGTAGGTGGCCTGGTTCGTTGCCTGAACCTTAATATTTCTTTCAAACGGGTTTTGAGGAGATTGTAGTCCATGTATGCTCCTTCCCATTCGGGCACCATTTGCGCCGCGAATTCCTTCCCAAACTTCATTATCTTCTTTGCCCCTTGTGATTCTGCTGCTGTCTGCAGGCACTGTGGGGGAAAGGAAGGTCTTGGAGAGATTTTGGAGGGTGGGTTTTGTTCTGTAGGGATTTTGGAGATGGTGACAATGGTGAGGTGGAGAGGAGAGGTGGTGGTTTTACTTTTATATAGGCCAACAACAACTAGAATTAGATGGTTGGAATTGGAAGAGAGGGAGAGAGATTGGAGTCAAGGGGCATGTTTTTTTGCTGGGGGTTGAATCTTTTTCTCTTTCAGAAAGTTGTGATTTCAGATCAGACATTGGAAGAGGACAATGGTAGGCTCCTGGTTTTTTCCTTTTGGGTCTGGCCGCCTCGGAGTTTAGTGTTTATCATGGTTGTCATGCCGATGGCATGCCACCTGGTTCAACCTGGTTCAACCTGTACCGGTCATGAAACCGGCATGACACCACCGGTATGACCGGTATGATCGACTTACGCATTTTAAGTAAAATGACATCATTTTAATGAGTTTAATGAATAAAAAAATTAATTTATTATTCGTTTTATGAATGTAATGGTTAAAAGTTGATGATATTTGTTGGATTGTAACTAAATTGTCCACAAATATGTTTTATATATGATTAAATACATGTGATATTAATTGTTTTCACATTTTTTTAAACCGGCATGAACCGGCACAAACTGGTTATACCACCGGTCGTACCATTCCACTTGTCAAACCGGCACAATGGTATAAACCGGTTTGACAACCTTGGTGTTTATACTTTATATATTTTTTTGGTAGATTATATTGAGAATGGAAATGGAGGAGGAATTGATAAAAAGAAAAAGAGATTTGCATAGATGGGCAAGTTGAAGCAGTCGCGGCTGACTGATATTAATTTGCCTTTATCGATAATGGGGTGGTTAGGGTGGGTGGGTTGAGATTTCTCGTTATTTTCTTTAAAAGGACGTGAATCCCAATCGTGATGATTATATTTACTAATAATAATCTACACATTGTAGACCGTGTTTCCTTTTTAATTCCATGGTTTCAAAATGAACCATAAATATATATAATGTAAGCAAACTTATCAAAAATAAATATATAAATAAATAAAGAGGCAGACAGGCAGTGACCACCTCCACCTGTCCCCTGTTTTAGCGCAGCTAGGCATGCATCTTCATGATCCATCTCTTGGCTCTCTCTCTCTCTCTGATGCGGATTATGGCTATGGACCACGAGGGAAAAATCAAAAACTCGATCATTGCCAGTTATCACGGAGACCATTTGCCAATACATGGTTGCTTTTTTCAGCTTTCTCACGCGGGTATGTAATGTCTCCGTCTCTACTTTGTGTGGGACGGGCCTAGTTTTTTTTTTTTTTTACCAAAACGATCGCTCGTATTACCGAGAAAACAGTCAGATACAAAGGAGTGGGACGGGCCTAGTTGGTTGCTTCTTCTTTTCTTCTTCGTGAGTTCAGTTTCAGTTTGGTTTTGGTGATAGTTAAATAGATGTATTGTCATCAATGCATGTATAATAATATACATGTACATAAGAAAATCGGTGTATTGTAGTTTGCATTGTTTGGTTTATGTGATAGTTATTGAGTTATTTAAATAATTTATCTTACTTTTTGGGTGAAATGTCATTTTTATCTTTCTTTGGGACAAAGTTGGAATTAAAAAACACACAACAATCTCAATCAAACATCCAAACAATCTCACAAAAAACTTGAGATTTAACTATCACTCATTTTGAGCGATAGTTTGTGTCACATCAAGCAAACAATCCTTGTATTACTTGTGCAGAAAATTCAGAAAAACGATGCATTGTGAACAATACATGTATTGTAACTATCTCAACCAAACAATCACCAAAACCAAACGCCCCCTGAATTGGTTATCTTCTTTTTTCCCTAGAGATATCCGGAAAGAAAACAACAAGAGGCTTAATATATTTTGTATGTACCGAACTTTTCACAAATTCATCGGGTTAATTGCAAGGATGGTCACTGGGTTTACTAAAACTGTTCATGTTTGGTCACTGCAAATATTTAATTCCATTCATGGTCACTGAGATTAGTTCAATAGTTCAAGTTTGGTCACTCTTCGTTAGTCTCCGTTAGTTTTTGCTGATGTGGCAGTCAACTATTATAGTTGACCGTTAAATGAGTGACGTGGCCATTAAAAAAATAATAAAATAATATAATTTAAATATTTACAATTTCTACCTCATTTTACAACTATTAAAAAATAAAAATGAAACTTACCTCCGCCATCTACATCACCATGACCATGACGTGATCGTCTCCGCCGCCGCTCCTTCCTCAACGCCGGCCTCGCTTTGCTTCATCCCACTTCATTTTTCTCATTGCTGACAGGCAGAAAGTACTATCTCTTGTCCCATTGCCGGATTATAGCTTATTTGGGCCAAACGATGCCAACCAAGTAGCTAGAACCAAACATATGCATCAAAACCTAGCTATGATACCAGCTCACTCTTTCTAACTACCACCTTGCTGCGATTTATATATATCCCACAAGTAGGGCTGTTAATGAACCAAACCGCTCATGAACGGCTCGGTGTGCGACTCGAGAAAAACTGGTTCGACACTCGATTCGTTTTAATCGAGCCGGCTCGCGAACAAGCTCGTTAACTAAACGAGCCGAACTCGAGCCATATCATGTTCAGCTCGAAAGCTCGCGAACAAGCTCATTTAATATTTTGGTATAAAAAAGTATTAGAATTCATAGATTTTATGTATTGAAATTGGGATAAATATTGTGTTTTACTTTTCTAGACTTTGTTACAGGTTTGAATGTAATTTTGTGCGCAGTTCTAGGTCAATCTTGAGCTATCATGAACATTTTATGAGCTGAACTCGAATTTGGGCTCGTTAAACTTATTTGACTAGCCGAGCTCGAGCCGAGCTCGAGCTTGCATATTAAAGCTCGTGACGAACACGAGCCGAGCTCGAGCCTGGAAATATATTAACGAGCCGAGCCCAAACTATGGCAAAACTCGGCTCGACTCGGCTCATTAACAGCCCTACCCACAAGTAATAAGAGAAACGGGAAGCAATAGCTAAGTCATCCCATGGCGAAATTCCAGTTCCATATCCGCTACTTCCTCCTCCTCCTCCTCACAGCGGCTGCCACTGCAGCGTCGTTCAAAGTCCCCAGGCTCAGCATCTACGACCCACGGCACCATCTTGCCGGCGGCCAGACTTCGACATTAACGGCGGCCATGGAAGGTTTCGAGTCCCATTTCTACAACCAAACGCTGGACCACTTCAACTACCTCCCGGAGAGCTACGTCACTTTCCGGCAGCGATACTTCACAAACTCCAAGCACTGGGGCGGGCCCGGCGCTCCCATTTTCGTCTATCTCGGCCCCGATGAAGCAAAGCGAGGCCGACGTTGAGGAAGTAGCGGCGGCGGAGACAATCGCGTCATGCACGGTGGCTTAGATGGCGGAGGTAAGTTTTATTTTTATTTTTTAATAGTTGTAAAATGAGGTGGAAATTGTAAATATTTAAATTTTATTATTTTATTATTTTTTTAATGGCCACGTCACTCATTTAACGGTTAACTATAATAGTTGACTGCCACATCAGCAAAAACTAACGAAGACTAACGGAGAGTGACCAAACTTGAATTATTGAACTAATCTTAGTGACCATGAATGGAATTAAATATTTGCAGTGACCAAACATGAACGGTTTTAGTAAACCCAGTGACCATCCTTGCAATTAACCCCAAATTCATCATACTGACCAATTTTTTCTATCTATAACTTCATAGTCTTTTTTTTTTGTTGACAAAAGATAATAAAGTATATTGATTGGAACTAAATTAACCAAACCCGAGATTTTACCATTACCTAGAACCGTCAAACGCGATGACTAATGGTCAACACACCATTTCACTACCCAATCAGCATAGAAAATGATTAAATTTCATATTTTCTCATTTTTTGTTTTAAATGGTAATGCATTAGAGACATTATTTATTTTTATTAATTTAATGTAATAATTTGAAATTATAAATATGTAATTTTTTTATGTTTTTCATGTTGACTGTGTAGTAACGTGGCCGGTTGACAGTTAACCAACGATTTTAACCGTCCAACATAATGGTCAAATCACGGGTTTGGCTAATTTAGTAACTTTGATGATTAGTTGAGGCCACAATATTATAGATCAAAAAGATTGGCCAAAATGTTTAATTTGTGAAAATTTTGGGCCATACAAACATATTATCCCTTAAATATACAAGACTTTTGTGGGTTGAATTTCAAAGAAGAATTTACAAAGAGTCGTTGGTCGACCAACCCAAACTTGAACCTTGTACCTTCAAACTCGGATCCCGAAGCTCTAAAAGGTCCTAAGCATCTCATCCAAACCGTGGAACTCAAACTCATATTGGATTTCGGAACTCTAGTGGGTCTCATTCCTTGACTCCAAGCCTTGGGCCTCCAAATCGACAAAGTGGATCTGGGCTAGTCTCTGGGAATCTAAGAAAACTCTTGATTTAGGGACGGTGAGGGTGGTTGGCTCTGGAAATTCATCATGGTTTCATAAGGATCCTTGGCTTCCATCCCTCGAAGGTCACAAAATCAGCACTCCTAACATCCCAGCTTCCAGAGTTAGTGATTGGATAAGGGAGGACACTAGGCAATGGAATTGGAGCCTTGTTAATGGTCATTGTGCTCCGGCGGAAGCAGAAGCAATCTCTTGGGTGCATATTGGCCCAGCTGATGCGAAGGATATTTGGGCTTGGAAATTCAACCCAAATGTGGAGTTCACGGTTCGATCGGCCTGTCATGAGACATGCGCTTTTAAGCGCCATCATCAACCCCAACACATCCATGATCTTAATCTTCCCTCGGCAGATGATTGTTGGAAATGGTTGTGGTCTCTCGATCTTCCTCCAAAGTTATGCTTTTTCATCTGGAGATGTTTGGGGAAAGCGCTGGCGACAAAGGCTAACCTTCACCACCCGAATTGTGCCACCACTCCTCTTGTCATCTGTGTGATGATCCAGTGGAGGATACAATCCATTGCCTCTTTCGGTGTCCTCATGCTCTGGAGACTTGGAATAGATTCATGCCGTCGGTTTCCCCTCCGGCAAACTTCAGTCAATGGTTTTTCGCCTTGAGGGACTTGGAGTCACCTA